GTAGCCCAGGCAACAGAGAGAGACTGTCTCCCCGCAAAAAAAAAAAAAAAATCTGTTCAGTGCAGCCACCTTCACCAATTACCTTAGCTAGATCCTCTAGATAACTTCCTGCAGCTTGTATATTATCACTTGTTGCTTCATCTTGCACTTTTATGTTATGGAGATGGCTTCTTTCCATAGACTTTGCAAACCAGCCTCTGCTAGCTTCCAAACTTTCTTCTGTTGCTTCCTTACTTCTCTCAACCTTCACAGAATTGAAGAGAGTTTAGGGTCTTTGCTCTGGATTAGGCTTTGGCTTAATGGAATATTATGGCTGGCTTGATCTTCTATCCGTACCACTAAAACTTTCTCCATTAGCAATAATAAGGCTGTTTCACTTTCTTATTCGTGTGTGCTCACTGGAGTAGCACTTTAAATTTCCTTCCCATTCACAACTGGGCTAAATGTTTTGTACAAGAGGCCTTGTTTTTGGCCTATTGTGGCTTTTGACATGCCTTCATCACTAAGCTTAATCATTTCTAGCTTTTGATTTAAAGTGAGACATGTGTGACTCCTCCTTTCACTTGAACACTTAGAGGCCACCATAGGGCTATGTATTAATTGGTCTAACCCTAATTTCAATATTATTGTATCTCAGGTAATAGGAAGGCCATAGGAAAAGAGATTAGGGAACATCTGGTCAGCGAAGTAATGATAATGAACATGCATGGTGCCAAAAAGGGTTATAATAGTAACATCAACGATCAAGTGGTCAGGATTGGGTATGGAAGCCCACGCCTGTAATCCCAGCACTTTGGTAGGCCCCAGAAGAAGGATCTCTTGAGGCCAGGAGTACAAGACCAGTTTAGACAACTACTGAGACCCTGTCTCTACAAAAATGAAAAAATTAGCTGGGCCAAGTGGCACACACCTACAGTTCTAGCTACTTGGGAGGCTGAGACAAAAGGATTGCTTGAGCCCAGAATTTGGAGGTTACAGTAAGCTATGATGCCATCATTACACTGCAGCCTGGGCAACAGAGCAAGACCCCGTCTCAATAAAAAGAAGAGAGAGAGAGAGGAAAAAAATGTGAAATAAAGACATTTATACATTAAAGAATATTAAGAGAACTCACTGCTAGCATACTGAGCTACAATAAATGCTACAAAGCATTTCAGTCAACAGATGGAAACTAGAATCTACTAGAAATGGAGATGAAGAGCATTGGAATCTTAAGTATTTCTGTAAATGCAAAAGATTTGTTTCTTTACAATATATATGACTATATGAGGTACAAATGATAACATTGTCCATTGTCTTGAGGTTGATGTATTTAGATGTAAAGTATATAATCAACACAGCATTAATGCTGAGAGAATGGGTCTATAGGGTTGAAAATTTCTACATTTAATCCAAGTGGCACAATAGTCTACAAAAAGTTAACAATGTATATGTTGTGATCTCCAGAGCAAATGCTAATTAATAATGCAGAGCTACAGCTAAAAAAATATGTGGATGAATTAAAAGAGAATCTAAAAAGTTTTCAAATAATACAAAGGAAGCCAGGAAATAAGGAACACAGGAATCCCAAACAGGAGTCTAAAATACAGCAAATAGTGAAATGGTAAACAATTAGATGTTAACAGATGAAAAGCTCCAATTAAAAGGCACAGACTGTAAGAATGGTTAATAAAAAAAAAATCCAACTATATGCTGCCTACAAAGTAAGCACTTTAACAGATAAGTTGCAAGTAAACAGATGAAAAAAGTTAAAACATGTCAACAGTAAGCATAAGATGCTACAGTGGCTACATTAATATCAGATAAAGTAGACTTCAAGACAAAGAACATTATCAGATATGTAGAGAAACACTGCATAGTGGTAACTGTCCATTCATCAGGAAGATACATACACATTTATGATTATCTAGTAACAGCTTCAAAATACAAAAAGTAGAAAGTGATAGAACTAAAGGGAGAAAGATAATTCCATAATCATAGTTGGAGATTTTTTCATGCCACTCTTTCAACAAATGATGAAATTAGACCAAAAAAACAAACAAAACAAAGAGGATCTGAGCAACGGTGTCAGTTATCTTGACCAAATTGATACTATTTATAGAACCCTCCAATCAACTTCTGCAGAAGCACATTAAGTACACATGAAAACCCTTGAATAGTTGAAAACAGATCTATAATACATAAGCTAAAGAATAAGTCACAAAGTAAACTACAAAATATTTTAAAATGAATGTTAATGAAAACGACATATCAAAATTTGTGTAATACAGCTAAAGTTATCCCCTGAATAGTGTATATTGTACCCAATAGGTAATTTTTTATCCTTCAACCCCTTTCACCCTCCCCCACTTATAAGTCTCCAGTGCCCATCATACCATTTTGTGTCACGTAGCCATAGCTTAGCTTCCACCTATGAGTGAGAACATGTGGCATTTATTTTTCTGTTCTTGATTTACTTCACTTAGGAGATAATGGCCTCTAGTTCCATCCAAGTTGTTGCAAAAGACATAATCTCATTCTTACCACTGAGTAGTACTCTATGGTGTGTATATATATGCACCACACTTTCTTTATCCACTCATCACTTGATGGTCATGTAGGTTGATACCGTAATCTTTGTGAATTGTACTGCAATAAACATACTGCTGCAAGTATCTTTTTGATATAATGATTTATTTTCCTCTGGGTAGAGGATGATTAGAGATGTTAAGCATTTTATAGTATCTTTTTGGGCCATTTGTATATTTTCTTTTGGAAAATGCCTGTTCAAGTCATTTGCCCACTTTTCAATGGGGTTGTTTTTTCTTGCAGAGCTGTTCGAGTTCCTTATAGATTGTGGATATTAGTCCTTTGTTGAATACATAGTTTGCAAATATTTTCTCCCATTCTGTAGCCTACTTACTCTTTCAATAATTTGCTGTGCAGAAGATTTTTAGTTTAAGTTCTGTTTGTCTATTTTTGTTTTTGTTGCATTTGCTTTTGGGGTCTGTTAATAAATTTTTTGCTAAGGCCAATGTCCAGAAGAGTTTTTCCTAGGTTTTCTTCTAGAAGTTTTATGGTTTCAGGCCTTACATTTAAGTCTTTAATCCAGCTTGAGTTAATTTTTGTATATGGTGAGAGATAAGGATCCAGTTTCATTCTTCTGCATATGGCTATCCAATTTTCCCAGCACCATTTATTAAGTAATGTATCCTTTTCTCAGTGTATGGCTCTAAATGTGTAATTTAGAAAAGAAGAACTAAAGTTAATAACTTAAGCTAGGAAAAGAAGAGCTAAGTAAATCCAAAGTAATCAGAATGAAGGAAATAATTAAGAATATAAATCAATGAAATAGAAAACAAGAAAAGTAACATAAGACGACATCTGGTTCATTGAAAAGATTCCATTTATATGATGGTAGGAATAGGCAGAACTAATGGTAGAAAAATATCAAGACAGTATCTGGGCAGGGATTGACTAGGAATGGATATAAGGGAGCTTTGAGATGACGGTAGTGTTCTACATCTTGATAGGGGTTTGGGTTACTCAGGTGAATACATCTGGCAACATTTAATATGTACATTTGATATGTGTATTTTGTTGTAAATTTTACCTCCAAAGCAGTAGGAGGAGAAGCTAAACAAATAAGGAATTGAAGGTAATGATACTGGTATTGAAGTACTAAGGGAGGGAAGTGTACTAGTAACAACAATTTACTTTGAAAATTAATAAGTTGTAGCAATACATAGATTGAGAGATGTATAGGTATCTTATAATTATAAAGCAAGTACAGTAAAACATTGATGAAGAGTATATAGGTGTTCACTGTAAATTCTCTTCAACTTTTCTGTATGTTTGAAATTCTTATAGTTCTATAACATTCTTATAATACCATTGGGTTAGTACTTGAAGCTTAAGAGCACGTAAGGGTTAGGAAGTTGTTCTGGAAAATCAATGCTAGGAACAGTTGCTAACTGAGTACAGGGTTCGGTTATGATTTTTATGGCAGCTAAGGCAAAGGTGAGTGAACAGTATTGGTCAGGCTACTAAGGGTCCCAATTAGTTAAAACTTAAGATCACTATAATTATTGAGAACATCAGTGGGAACAATACTATAAAGGATTGTACTGACCGTATGTATGCCTCAGTTACTGCTGCCATTAACTTTCAAGGTAAACATAATTCCATTGTATCAACTGAGACCATACTATCCTCCAAGAAAGCTACTTAAGTTTTTAGGCCCAATGGGGACAGCATGTAAGGAAATACTAAAATAAATATACTACTCTGATTTTGAATTTTCTGGATTTGTCATTTCATAAAAGACTTGCAATAATGGAAATAATGTTACTCATTATTTTCTTCAGTTTTCTTCAGTTGTCCATGGCAAAATCTTATGTTGTTTTAGCTGGTTCTCTTTCTTAACATATTCCAAGTTGCTATTGATATTTTTCAACAGAAACACACTAAAAAGGTATACTTTACCTGTTTTATGAACTGTGTAGCATTAAAAAGTTCACTGCAGCCATATAAAATGTGTTTGCCTTGCTTTCCCTGTAAAAAATCAGAGCCAGAACTCAGATACAAGTAATAAGAAATATTTTCACTAATCTCAAGGAAAGAGATTAACCTACTAAGACTTTTTTTCCTCTTACAGGCCTTTTTTGAGGGGGTGGTGGTCCTGGTGGATTTTAGTGTACACATCTATCCTAAAATTGTATGAAATATTTTTTTTCCAAATATGGCACATTGTTGGTGCCATTTCCTATTACATTAAAAATAGAAGGAATCTGAGAACTACCACATTTCACAGAAGCAACATTTATAAAATCTTGGAGTAACATTCTTCCATTATAGGATGTGAACTACTTGAAGAACATATTAGAGTTTTGTTATGCTGAAAATAGGATATGGTGCAGGTAGCGTGGATTGTCCATTTAGTTTCAGTTGTGTAACACGGTATTAATATGTCTCATTCTACTTTGTAGTAATTCTATACATTTTATTCCTGATTTTGACAGAATGTTGAAACCCAACATAACAGTCAAAACTTCTCTACTAGAGAATTTTGGTAAGTCCTTAAAATGCTAAATTTATTGTATGTGTTGTGAACTTGAAGGTAAATTGGTAAGATTTTCTTTTGTAAAGTTTATTCTATAACAAAGTAATAATTCATCAAAGATCATAAGAATGATGGCTTTGTAATGTAAGAGAAGGACATTTCTCTGTGAATATATAAGCTGAATAAACATTGTTGGCTAAATAAATGTCTTAGCTGGCCATCTCTCAGAATAAATAAAATAAGAGCCACACCTCACTTACATTTTTTTCCAAAATGAGATAGTATATGCAGCAATTACACAGGGTCATAATTGGGATTCTTGAGGCTACACAGGATATACTCGTGATGCATTATTAAAAGTAGAAGTTACACCATAGAAGGAGAAAGAAGGCATAGGGAAAATTTAGACGGCTCTAAAACTTCTAAGCACAGCTACCAGGATCCTACCTTAGTAGCACAGGATGCATTACATTTTCTATTGTGAACCATCAAAATACATTCCAGATACTTTACTCTCAGGGGAGTTCTAGTATTGTTCAAGGACAGGCCTTTTATATCTCTCTGGTCGCACAGTCAAAATCAGAATGCACGGCCGGGTTCAACAGCAGAAACCAGGGGCAAACTATAAAATCAATCTTTAAATTTTCTATTAAATGATGCTGCCAAGCTAGTGCAAGTTGCCCCCAGTCTACATTAGACCCTAGCACAGGACTATATTCATCACTAGTTAGTACATTTCATTCCAAACGTCAGCAACATGCTTCTCGGTATTCCTGGAGATAAGCACAGGGTTCAATAGACTAGCTGAGATTAATTCTGTTCTTGTACAGTCCATACGCCTACTCCCACCCCTGGTTAAACTTTCTTAATCAAATCACTCATCATTCCTCTTTATATATCTTTTATAACACAAAAGTACTAATGATTTGTATCATCTAATGAGGTGTAGGTGTACTTTTAAAGAAACACTGTAGTTTATCTAAGCCTAGGATTAATGGTTTACTGAATCTTTCCTCACAAGTGAACAAGACAGTCTTATAAGCTTGTAATTACCCAACCCTACTTCATGTGACTGGAAATGGACAAAGGGGAAAGAAAGCACTGGCCAGTCTCATATTGCTCTCAGCTCTGTGGATAAGTCCTCTTGCTGAATCTGGTGGTCTTCTAACCCAGGGGGGTTAAGGTCTGAGTAAAAATTAATGACTACAGAAAAGAGGGAAAGTCTTTACTCTCAGAAAGGGAGCCACTGAGTAAATATTACAAAAAAGAGAAAGCTCATATTATCTTGGTACCTTCTGAGAGGCTGAGGGCAAGAGACTACTACTCTTAACTATATACGCCCATAAGGACTGCTGAATTGGAAGCTGCCCAGGATGGGATGTAGGAGATTTAAGTATGGTTCTCAATTAAAAGCTGAAGTAGCCCAAGGAAAATGGCTGAGTATCTTGGCAGAGTCAGCACAAAGAATACATTTATTGGAGACTTATAATTGATTAGGAGAAAATTATATTCTCCATTTACAACATTTTGGTATATGAGCAAGAGCTGATTATGTGGAGAAAGATTAAAAAAGACCCTATAAATCTAATTTATTTAATAACAATCTTAATCATAACATAATTGCTATTTGGTTCAATACTAGTATCACTGGTAAAATTAACATGAACAAATCCTATGACAATATTGATATAAATGAGCAAATGTACTGGAAATTGAATGAAAACTTCTACAATATGTTCTTCTGATGGAAGGTGATAGAACTAGATTTAGTTAATCATTATACTATTTCACAAAATTCAATTTTCTGTAGCAGAAAGAGAGTAAGAGTTGTCATGCTTCTGCATGATTAAGAACAAGTTTTCACTGAACTATCTGGTAAACTACAACGTTTCCTTAGAGTTATACCTATACTTCAGTCACTACACAAATGATGTGTAGTATTGTTTATCCTTCTTGTTTTTCTGTTCTGTAAATGTTGTAAAAGATGCCAAAAGAATGATAAGTGATAAAAAAGCTTAATCCAGGGTAACAGTGTGTAGAATGTATTGTCTACTGCAACTATGTATTTATCCCTGGGAACACCTGGAATCAGTCATGTTACTAACCCTTGGCCAAAACTGAATGAAATGTACTGACTAGAGATGAATATAGTCCTGTGCTAGGGTCAAGACAGACCAGTGTATTAGAGCTTGTCAGCATTATTCATAGAGATGGTTTGTACCTGGTTTCTGTCACGTTCTCTTCATTTCTGCTTTCTGGCTTGGTGCAACCTAATTTTGGCTATGAAACCAGCGGGATATAAAAACCCCTTCCTTGTATATGACTGGGGCTCCTCTAAAACCAAGGTATCTTACATATATTTTGGTGGTTTATGATCTGAAGATGAAGCCCATCTTATGCAAATAAGATAGGATCTTGGGAGTTGGAACTGTCAGATTTGGAGCTCTGTGATGTCTGCTTATGTGTTTTGTTCTCCTGTTGTACCATAATCACATAAGGCTTTAACAAAGGTAGAGGTTATTATTTAATGTTAAATGAATAAATGAAAATTATAAAATGTCACTGTAAAAATACCTAATTCTGTTGCCCCTACATTTTAAATGGTGTTTTTGCTATTCAAACCGTCACTCCCTGCTGCTGTCAGCTTTGAATAACACTCCACTTCTAATTTGCTACCTCTAAAACTCCTGTTTGCTGGGGGGAAAAAAGACATTTCAAGTTTGTTAAAAGTATGTTGCTTACTTAAGTCAATAGGATGGGAATAGACGAGTTCTGTAAATCATTTCACCAAGGGGAAGAAGAGCTTGCTTGAGGTCTCTAAGCAGTTAAAGTTATATTAAGATATACTGTTGTAAAGTGCATTATTAGATACATTATTTTCCAGATCAAGTACAATTTTAGGCCAGAATGTGATAGGAATAGGAAAACAATAAACATAAAAATATTTTTCTCTATATGCAGGATTTTAAACCTACCTCTTAGAAAAGGAATTATGTAAGGATCAGGACAGCCACCAGAAAATGCTAGTGTCTTAAGACATAGAACTGTGAAACCAACAAATGATAGAATAAAAAGGCCAAAATGTACCTTTATGTAGTCGACAAGATTTTGATATTCAATGTAGTTGCCACCTCCTACCACAAAAACAATAGCCTAAAAATGCAAACAGAAAAAAAAATAGGTAAGTTGTAAGAAATAGTTAAAACAGTGTTTTAACTGTGAAGCAACATGGTTTTTAGTCTGGAACCTATTCTACAATTGAGGTAAAAATACTAGCTAGCCAAAGGTCACATTCTAAGTACCTTATGCTACTTCAATTATAAAATTTATGTCTAAGAAGTCGATACATTTATAAAGGCTACTGAGTGGTAAAAAGTAGAGATTTTCAGAAATAATTGAAGAATGTAGTTATTTTCTTCTAAATTAAGTAACACTAAATAAATCTAAGGGCTTTTTCCAAAGGATATTTTTGAATTTGAGGTTATTTATTGTAGGCAAGAAAACTAGAAAACCTAACATTTATATAATTTTCAATATATGATGCTGCATTTTTTCTGAGAAGTTTGTTTTTCAATGAAAACAGTCATATCTTCACAAATGTTTGGAATCTCATTTTAGAAAAAAGTTCCACCCTCATAAAACTCTTACTGCAATATGAAAGGTTTTTTTCTGTTAATCATTTGTGTCAATTACTTTTAAACTTAAAATATTAAGAGCTTTATAAATCAGAAAAATATAGTTGCTGAGAATAATTTTTTTAAAGGAATCTTGGGGTGTACAGAGTTAGGATTAATGTATGGTAATCTGCATAAATCTAACAATGATAGTCTTTAAGACTGCTTTGTCACCTCTTCATCTTTCCTTTCTAGGAGCAGAGAAATTTTATATAGAACTTACCTCTTGGAATGGATTTTTGTTCCTGGGAACTGAACTGTAATAAAGAAAAATTGTACTGAAAAATTCACCTATGACTTTTATTACTGATAAAATAGGTATGAGAAACACACATATATGCACTATTAGACATGTATTTACAATTATACTTCCTTCACCCTCTTAGAAAGGTGGGTCCTTTAGTTTTGCAGAGCTGGGTAGTGAATTGGAATGCAGAGGAAGAAACTAGAAGAGGTAGATATCTCAGTGTCTAAATGGGAATCTGGCAACCTAATGACTTTAAAATAAAATTTTAGAAGACTGAGCAGTAGCTCTTGTCAGGATGAGTGGAAGTCAGTGTATAAGGTGAACTGATAAAGCATGTATTTTATGTAATAAATTTTCACCACACACAATATTGTAATTTATGGATATCTAAATTTGTGGAAAAACTGTATAAACACATGCATGGAAAAGATAACTCATGAAAGGGAGAATGGGAAGAGGGATCTGTATTTTGCTATAGCTTGTTATTTCTTATATTTATTATAAAAATACTTCTTGGTATCTAAGAGATCTTTAATAAAGGCATTTTTAAAAGCTTTTGTGAGTCAGATTTGAGTGCTATACAGTGTGACTTAACAGGATTTGAAATGCCTCATCAGTGTTTAAAGTCCTCTAAGAATAGATATGGGATGAGGAAGGGGAGACATAAACAGAACAGTATTACTAGTTATTAATAACCAAAATTTAATTGAGATGAGATAGCTCAGGAGAAGGCACTATTAAAAATGAAACTCTAAGCTTATATCTTATCAATGCTAATACTCATCATCATTATCATGAATAAAGTACATTTAGGATTAAAAGTTTCTCAGTAAGTTTCTAAGAAGCAAAATACAGTCACTTCTTGGTATCCATGGGACTGGTTCCAGGACCCTTTCCCACAGATACCAAAATCCATGGATGCTCAAGTCCCTGATATAAAATGGTGTAATATGTGCACACAACCTATGTAAATCTTCCCATATATTAATACTTTAAGACATCTCTAGATTACTTATGATACCTAATACAATGTAAATGTAAAGAATATAGCAAACTGTATAGTTTACCTTATATTCAGTATTGTTTAGGGAATAAAGACAACAAAAAAGGTCTGTACAGGTATTAATACAGATACAACCGTCCCTTTTTTCCCTGAATATTTTCAATCCACGGTTGGTTCAATCTATGGATGTGGAATGCCAACTGTGTATCTACTTGTTAGCTGAATGCAAGGAAGGAAAAAATGTAAGCTGGAGAATGATCAACATAGGAAAAGAGTTGCAAATTCACTCTTTTAAAGTGAACAATTCAGTGCTTTGGGCATATTTACAGAGTTGTATAACCATCACTATCTGATTTCAGAACATTTTTATCACTTTTAAAAGAAGCCCTGTACCCATTAGTAGTCACTCTTCATTTTCCCTTTTCATAATTGAGTCTTTGTCAAATTCTCTCTTGCAAACTGCAGCAGTTCTTATGCAACTTTGGTAGTATTTCTGATATGTTCAGAAAAGAGAATACTTTAAGTTATCAAACAATTTAATAATCTAGTGACTAGACTGTTTGTCCTAACTACCTACAAGGATGTGAAAGCTTGGGATAAAGCAAATATGAAGTTCTAAAGATCCTAAATATAAGGTATAAGCAGGAAACTACCTTCATCTAAGTTTTAGTGCTAGAGGTAATCATTCCAAGTAGTCATCTGCGCCCCCTAATTCTGCCTATTGTTTCTCTGTATCTTGTAGGTTATTTATCATATCACCATGAATTAAATCTTCAAAAACAGTATCCATAATAAAGAATACCTTACCATAGCATGCCTATCATAAAACACAAATTATTTATAGAATGTTTCATTGCTATCAAGTGTAATTTATAGCAGTGTTCTTAGGACTTGGATTTTACGGACCTGTTAAATAAAAAACAACGCAACTGGTACCCAACATAAAACTCCTATCTCTTCATTTGGTCATTCATTTAAAAACAACATTATCCAAACTCCCCCACCCATGCTTAGTTTGCAATACCTCTTATCATTTCATAAAAACCAATAAACATTTAAATGGATGTGTGTGTGTGTGTGCATACCTGGAAGGAAAAACACCAAAATGCTAAAATAAAATTACTAGTGATTATCTCTGGGAAATGAGATTATACACACTGTTTTCTTACCAGTTTTCTATATAGCTTGAATTTTTAAAAATAAGGGCTGCTTTATAATAAAAAAATAAATCATTTCCATTCTTGTTAATTTTTATTTCAGGATATTATGAGGGTACAAACATTTTGGTTACATTTTATGTCTTTGCCTCACCCAAGCGAGGATTAGAGGCATGGCCTTCCCTTCTACAATGCTCACCGAGTCCATTAATTGTGAGTTTACCGCCCCTCCCAACCCCCTAATCCCTGGAGAATATTACTACCAATACTTCTATTCTTGAAGGCAAAGATCCACAACAAATTAAACAAGACATAAGCTTCTTACCTGTCATTGCCCCGCAGCATTTTGGGATCAAAATATCTGTAGTCATCAGTTTCCTATTAGAAAAATAGAACTTTACTTATATCTATGGACTTTAGAAGGTCATAGTTTGCATTAGAGTATCTTATTTTAATGACTCTATTTTTTTGAATGTATAACCACTCCTAACACCTAATGGTCACTTCCTATGTGCTAAGCTTTATTCTAAATGCTTTACATGAAATTATTCACTTAATCCCCCTAATAGTCCATCAGGTAGGTATTATTGTTATCCCCATTTTCAGATGACCAAGCTGGGGCACAGAGAGGTTATGTAGCTTTCCTGACATCACATAACTATTATATTAAGTATGGGAACTCAGAATTTGAGCCCAGGCAGTCTAGTTTCAAGGCCCAAAAGCTTCTTAACCACCTCGCCTTACTGCTTCTCAAAAATATGCTTGTTTTAGTGGCTTGAAAATAGCTAAGTTAGGTTTTTTTTTTTTTTAAGACTTTTATTATATTATTTTTATATGTCTGTGATTTTATTGAATATACAGAATACCCAAAACAGGCTCACAATCTCTCTTATCTGAAACCTTTGGTGTTATAAGTATTTCAGAATTTAGAATTTAAAAAAGATTTAGATAGGTAATATTGTGCATATACTGTATATGATGTGGGCAGCACCCTATCATCTAACAGGTTATATTAACATAAGATAGAATAGATAAAATCTTTAAAGAGCTTTTTTTGCCATCAAATGAGTTTACAAAATCTTTTTGGACTTCAGAGGTTGTGGATAAGGGGTAGTGCACCTCTATACTAAATTAGAAACTTAGCTTCTTGATATTAAAGGAGTTGGAAAGTCCTGTTCTACTGCTTGATGATATAATTACTTCCTAATCTCTGCGTCTCTGTTTCCATAGGATAATCAGCTAAAGAAACTCATTCTTTTCTGGATTGTGGATGGTCCTAGTAAAACCTGATCAATGACATATATACTATGTGTGTTGTTACTATTTAGTCTTATACCCAGTGGTGGACACTGCTAATTTATCACAACCCTCTCCATAACTCCAAATGTAGTATCAGAATCTTTCAACACTTTGCTCTAAGAAACCACCATCAGCCAGACTTAAAAGGCAAGATGAAACCTATCTGATATCTTGTCTAATTTCAATTTAATCAATTAAGAAATCAAAGGAAACCACTTAACAAATGTAACTGGTAAGAATGCATCTAGAATTAGGTTGTATCATTTTAAAGCATTTGAAATAGATACACTCAAGATCACTTGCCAGGTCTAATTTAGTATACTTTGCTAAGCTCTTTAGCATTTTGCTAATCTCTTCAGTGCCTTTAAATCAACTTGCCCATCTGGAAACAGGAGAAGGATAAGAGAATGCAGGCAGCAGGCTCACCTAGCAGATGGATAAAGAAGTGATTTCAAAATAGAAAAAAATTTACTTTTTCTAATTAATTAAAAATATCTGTCTGCAGTAATATGCCTTCAGATATAAAGTCAAAGTCAATGGAACTGATAAATGAACTTCATAACTTGGCAGGACATTTAAGTAACACCCACAATTTAGTCACCCGTGTGTATATGACAGAAATGTAGAAGAAATGTATATGTTGGAATGAGCAATAGGCAGGAATATAGAAGTAATGGGTTTTTGTTTCCAATTCTGCTACTAAAAGTAGTGTGATTTGGAAGTCACTTAACATCTCTTGGTTGTCACCCTTCCATTGTTGAAATGACTTATAATGTTTCCTTCAACTCTCCAGTTCTATGATTTCATGACGGGCATATCATTCATGCCCTAATCAATAAGGCATAATGGTAAAAAATCTGACCTTTAGTTAGAATCCCAACTCTCAGTTATTAGCTGTATGTCTTTGGGCAAGTTAATTGACTTTATTTGGCCATCATTTCCTCATCCATAAAATGAAAAAAATAATAGTACTTTTTTTGAAAAGTTCTAATGAGGATTAAATGAGATAATATAATAGGGTCAAAAATACTTTGAATGGTTCCTGGCACATAAATAAGTACATAATCAATGTTAGCTATTATCATTATTATTGTTACTATTCTTCATCTCAACTTCAAGATTAGGGGCAGTAACAAAATATCCTAAACTTCCTTCACCTTTTGTGTACTTGGCACCTGTCTAAAATTTTGCATTTATTTTTAATCTTTATAATTGCTTGGGATAATATTGTCCAGAAGTTTACTGCCTATTATGAAGCAGTATTCTCTAAGATAATGCCTCATAAATGTATATCTCTCTCAGCCTTTTTAAGAACAGCCCCTTCTTCACATATTCTAGGATTTAGTGACAAAGTCTATTATTACTTCATTGCAAACCACTTTATCTTTAATGATTCCCAGACAGAAGAATACAACCCTTTTTAGCTTATCATTATAAACAATTCTCCCATTCCTTTCGCAATATTAATTGCCCTTTTGGGGTGTTTTATTACACTGTATCTTTGTTTTCACAAGTGAATTTTAAAATTTGTTTTGTTAATTTCCTTTAATGTTATTATAATCAAGTTTTTACTACTATAAAAAAAGGTCAT